CTATATATCTGAGAACGAAACATTATACCTGTAATTTATTTAGTGAATTGTCTATTTTTCTAAAAACACCATATCTTACCGGTAAGTTATAGTGTAAAGTGCTTATATATCTAAGAACGCAACATCTTACCCTAATTTATTAAGTAAATAGATTATTTTCTATAAACACCATATCGTACCGGTAAGTTATAGTGTAAAAAGCCTATATATCTGAGAACGCAACATCTTACCCGTAATTTATTACGTGAATTGCATATTTTTCGGAAAACCATGTCTTATCGGTAAGTTGTAATGTAAAGTGCCTATATATCTGAGAAGGCAACATCTTACCCGTAATTTTTTTGACTAAATAGCCAATTTTTCTAAAAACACCATATCTTATAGGTAACTTATAGTGTAAAACGCATAACGCAACATCTTACCCATAATTTATTGAGTAAAAAGCCTAATTTTCCAAAAACACCATATCTTGCCGGTAAGTTATAGTGTAAAAAGCCTATATATCTAAGAACGCAACATCTTATCTGTAATTATTCACTAAATACCCTAATTTTCCAAAAACACCATATCTTACCGGTAATTTATTGTGTAAAAAGCTTATATATCAGAGAACGCAACATCTTGCAAGTAATTTATTAAGTAAATAGCCTAAGTATCCAAAAACACCATATCTTACTGGTAAGTTATAGTGTAAAAAGCCTACAAATTTGAGAACGCAACATCTTACCCTTAATTTATTAAGTAAATAGCCTAATTTTCCAAAAACACCATATCTTGCCGGTAAGTTATAGGGTAAAAAGACTGTATATCTAAGAACGCAACATCTTACCCGTAATTTTTAAGTAAATTGCCTAATTTTCAAAAAACATCATATCTTACGGGTAAGTTATAGTGTAAAAAGCCTATATATCAGAGAACGCAACATCTTGCAAGTAATTTATTAAGTAAATAGCCTAAGTATCCAAAAACACCATATCTTACTGGTAAGTTATTGTGTAAAAAGCCTACAAATCTGAGAACGCAACATCTTACCCTTAATTTATTAAGTAAATAGCCTAATTTTCCAAAAACACCATATCTTGCCGGTAAGTTATAGGGTAAAAAGACTGTATATCTAAGAACGCAACATCTTACCCGTAATTTTTTAAGTAAATTGCCTAATTTTCAAAAACATCATATCTTACCGGTAAGTTATAGTGTAAAATCCTATATATCTTAGAACGCAACAACTTACACATAATTTATTAAATAATAGCCCAATTTTCAAAAAACACCATATTTTACCGGGAAGTTATTGTGTAAAAAGCCTATATCTAAAAGAACGCAAAGCCAATACTTACCAAACAAAAAAATTAAGACAATCTGGTGTGCCTCCACTAACGAGCACGCAGTATCAAAGAAACTCTGGCGTATGCATCCCAACTAGGATTTCAAACTTAAAATAATAATTAAAAGATAAAGCTTGAAAAAACCAAGCTATAACAATACAAATAAAATGACAGGACTCGCCCCGAATTCCTCGGAATCCGTGACGGATCCTGTGGTATTTTCGACATCCAACCGATACCGGGCCCACTTACTGATTTCAAATGTCCTCTTCCCCTAAAACAAAGGAAAAGAGGCCGAGACTTGTACCGAAATTTCGGCAGAGTCTCCCTTGAAAAACGGACTTAACCAAATTTTTCAACCTGTCAAAAACACAGTTTAAAATTTCCACACTTCAGCATGCACAGTCTACCCTCCAGGCATAGTCATAAGTAGTTGTAAGGACTCAATCCACAATCATTCATCAATCTAAAATAGGTTTCAGCCCCGACACAATCACAAACACATTATAACCACATCCCTTCAGGCTACCGACAAATTCAAAACCGAACTTAACAAATCTAATAAATAGGATTCGATCCCAATGACCAAATTAGAGTCCAAAAATATATTTTATCTCGCGGTTGCACCTGGGTGAGACCCGGTTTTTGAAATTGGGTGGGTCAAGTAGAGGAGGAGAGGAAAAGTTTGCAAGTCGTTTCGTCGAAAACGGTGGCCGGACGAAGCCGGATTCAGCGTCGGAAAATGTTGTTGTGCGACGGGGAGAGAGAGAGAGAGAGAGAGAGAGAGAGAGAGAGAGAGAGAGAGAGAGAGAGAAAGAGAAGCTGACCTGGGTTTTAAAATTCTGACCTTGAAATATTTACAATTGTGCCACTGTGCTTCCGCTGACCGTAACTTCTTCGTTAAAACTGCGATTTGGGCCCACTACGTGTCTATGAACTCGTATCGATGAGCTCTACGCAAGGGAAAAAATGACTTGTCTCCTTTTAGTTTTTTCCAACCTTCGAATGACTTTGGTTGTTTTAGTCAAACGCCCTTGGTCTTTGTTTTTTTTTGCTGCCTTAGTTGTTCTTTTATTTTTTTTGTTTTTTTGTGGCACAGTTTTATGACAAACTGTGGTCTAGCAAACTAAGACAGAACTGTTTAGCAAATTCTTCGTCTATTACAATTATTGTTATAGCAACAACAAGATTGAGAACTTGAAGATAAATGTACATGTCACTATCACTGGTGGTTTGTTGGTTGGGGATGGTAGAGCAAAAGGAGCCTGTAAATACAATTTTGTGTACTAAAACAAAACTGCATTTTCAGCTAGTTGACACACTAACAACTTGGGGCTTAGAGACTGAATCTTTTTGCAGTCATTACAAGAGAATCTGTGGGTATTCTTTTCTTTTCTTACTGTTATAGGGTACTCAAGTCAGCCTCATTACAGAGAGAAACTGCTCCAACTTACAAATGTGGAGGAGAGGCCGTGGGATGTGTACTGAAATGGGAATAGCCAAAACACCTACTGATGGAAAATAAGCCACTTCTAGCAGGCAATGACTCGGGTTTATCCTCAGATTTACTGTGAGGAAAGTGCCTATGAAAGGCATTCAATGCTCCTATCAACCCATCTTCGTCATCTATGGCCTTGGCAATTTCAACAGCACGCTCTTTAACCTTTCTACCGAAAATAGTTATGTCTTTGTTAATTTAATATATTCATGTCCATACTAGGGATTGAAATAACAAAAAATAACCCCTAGAGTTATGACTAGTATTTGCATGTTAAAATTGATCGAAAAACAATGGCAACTTCAATCAAATCAGTGCGCATGCATGTGTGATAATTTTACGCTCAATATGTAAGTGATAGAGCAAAAAGCCAATAACTTACCGGTAAGTTATAGCGTGAAAAGCCAATATTTAACCATCATGTAAGTGATGGAGTGGAAAGCCTATAACTTACCGGTAAGTTATGGCGTGAAAAGCCAATATTTAATCGTCAGGTAAATGATTGAGCGAAAAGCCTATAACTTACCGGTAAGTTATTGCGTGAAAAGCCGATATTTAATCGACAGGTAAATGATTGAGCGAAAACCTGTAACTTACCGGTAAGTTATTGCGTGAAAAGCCGATATTTAAACTTACCGCTGTCGGCCGCTGAAGTGAGTATTTAGATTTTCACCTTGTCATTCCTCATGTCCCAGCTAGTTGTTTCCCATTTAAATCTCTTTTTCCATCTTCAGGAGACCACCTCCTCCGATGATCTCGAGGAGTTATACGCCAGCCTCCATGAAGAAGGAGGCAGCTCGGCCTCGGCTCCCTTGGACAAGGATTCCAAGGCCGTCGTTGAAAGGCTCCAAGAGTTCCTATTCTTTGGGGTTCACCAAATGACCACTGCCGAGGCATTCATGGAGTTCAAGTCCTGCTTGGATACGACCATGGCGTTGGGTCTGCTGGACTCGGCTCAGCTGGATGAGCTACAGGCTCGCTTGGCCGAGGGCGACGAGATGATCGGTCGGTATGCTGAGGCAAACATGAGGATGACCGAGGGGTGCTCGCTCGAGCAAGAGCTGTCAGTGATAAAAGAACAAGTCCAACCTGCCATGGCCCGTTTGAAGGAAAATGACCTCGTTGTCCAAAGAGAGAATGAGGAACTTGCGCAGGTCAAGGTTCAGATTGCCGAGCTCCAGGCCCGTCGAGATCTCATCCTTCAGCGCCGAGATGGTGCAGTTGCGGTCGAAACCGAGCTGAAGTCTTCGGCCAGGCAAATCCTCAGGGCGGCGACCGAGAAAAAGAGGGCACTGGCCAAGAGGAAGTTGATCCAGGCGAGGTAGCAGGCGGATATAGATGGTGGGGACATTGCCTGGAGAATGATAACATGCCTAATCTGGGGGATGTTCAGCGAGAGGGGTTAGGTGGGTGGCCGTTTAAAGATCTTGGGATGTAATAATTAAACATTTTCTTCTTTTTCCACATAGACACATACAAATATACACATATATTTTTTGTTTTGATCGACCATGACTGGCCGTTCTTTTTTCTTTTGTAAAACAAAATGATCTCTTAATCTAAATACAAAGCGTGGGCCTTCTTCTCTGAATGATTGAATGTATGATGTTCGCTTTATATTGGCCGCACCGTTTGTTTAGCTCGCTCGCCTACTTCCCCCTCTTTTTCTTTTTGACTTTTTTGTCGTAGGCCCTCGGTGCCATTTTTTCTTGAACTCACACCGAATTGTAAGTGTCGAGTCTTGACTGTTCTAAATTTTCTAAACTCCGGGGCACGGTTTGCTCGTAGTTCTTCGTCTTTCGCCTAAGTCACTTGAAAACTCGAAGAAATCGAACCTCTAGCTCCATTAGTTTATCAATGTCATGGCCGTAGGTCAAGACATAAGGAGATGTGCCCATGGCCGAGTGTTTTGATGTGCGGCATGCCCAAAAAGCCTTAGGGAGCAAGTCGCGCCAAGTCCTCGGCTTTCCGGGTGGGTACGGCTCAGTATAACTTGGTGCCCCCGGCCGCCTCTGGGCTAAGCCGTCCTTGGTCGTGCGCCAGACATCTTCGAGTCGAGGATCCTGAGGGGGCGACTCCAGCTGGGTTGGAAGTGGCCGCTGGACCTGTTGCGCATCGTTCTGCGGCTTTATCTACTGGTCCACTTGAACAAGGGCTCGGCCGTTGCGACCGAGCTAGGCGGCATTAGATAAGAGTCGTAGGTTTGACCAGGGTGCGTATGTGTTGCTGTTGGAATGGCCGGACCATACTGAAGGTGGGAGCCTGACGGAAATAACGACGCTTGTAATGGTGAAACGGTCGGATTGCTTTGACTGGACGGCCACAGTGTGAACTGGGCCAGGATGGGTCTGGACGGCCACGGTGTGAACTGGGCCAAGTTGCTGGACCGCAAAATGCGTGGGGCTACTTTGCCCCAATGATACGGCCAAAGGATGGAGTGGGCCATACGCCGTTTTTGCTGGGCAGGTCGGTCCGGGATATACCCATGTTGGCTGGGATTGCCCCCAGCTATTTGTTGGCGGTTGAGAATGCTGGCCGTAGCCTGACGCTTGGGTGCGGCCAGAGGCGCCGAGGCTGCTGCTTTCGCCGTAGGGCTCAAACCTCTCGCACTCTTGGCTTCTTTGTCCGGCTCTAGGAGGCATCGCGGACGACGTTACCGGTATCCTCTCCTGAAAGAGCGTCCGTAGCTCTAAGGAGAATCTGTCCACTGCGGCCATAAAGGATGTCTCTATCCTGTAGGCCTGCTTAGCCATCAGACCCTCCACTACTGCTTGCTCTTCCTTGAACTCGGCCGCACGATCCGTCGTTGTTGGAACACTTGCCGAGATTCTGACCGCGTGTTCGGTCTCGGTGATAGTGATTGGTGAGGTGGACTCAGGAGCCTCGGAAGTCATTTCGACTGTTTTGTTTTCGAGCTTTGCCTATGCCCTAGTTTCCACCATGATTTTTTGACAAGGTCCCACGGGCGTGCCAAAAGTGTTGGCTGCGCAAATCTCACGACCTGGTGCTCCAAGCCGAGGGGATGTGCGTTAACACGTGACGTCCTTCTTTTGGATGCAGTGCGGTTGTGCGCGGGCGTGCCAGCACAGTCTACCGTGCGTCGAGATGGTGATGAGGTTTGGGTAGAAAATGGTTAAATGATGCGCCTGTTTTGAGTTCGACTCCTAATCAAACGATTGTGGCCAAGAGAGGAATTGATCTCGGCCGTCAGGTTCATGGCCTGAGCTACAAGGCCGTTTAGTGCCGGTGGCGGGTTTTAGGCGGTGCTCCTTCGCATTGCTCAAAGAGCGACGATCGTATGATATATGAGGTGAATGAGATGATAACAGAGATGGTGCTCCGACGCCTTGAAAATCAAGGGTCGTATGATATATTGATGAATGGATTTTCCTTACAATCTACCACTACTCCTAGGAAAGCAAATAAAGGTATTGAAAGTGCATTACAGTAAAATATAATTTGCTTCGTGGGAGGCTTTTGGTTTGGTGTTTGAACCCCTTGAATGTAGTCCTGAGCTTAGTATTTATAGGGGGAGTCCTAGAGGGACAATCGAGGCTGAAAAGATCTGCGTGATGGAGCCTGATCGGGGCAAGTAGGGTAGTCAAGTCGAAATTTGGGATCGTGAAGCATGGTGGTGTGACCCCCATAAATCCCGGTAAATCTCAGCCACCGCCCTGATCGTGAGTTCTGCCCCCTTGGCCATGGGAACGCATTTAATGCCTTGGTCTAGTGGTTGGTGATCTGACCTTAAGTTGTAAGAATACTTGTGAGAATTTTTGCGCCTAACCACTCTGATTTCCATCACCAAATCCTGACTTCAGTCACTTCCCTTCTTCCCTCGCGCATTAAATGCTTCTTGCGACTAGTGGGTTTGCTGCGATAGTCAGAGGCATTACTTCATTAAATGGGGAGTGGGACCTTAAGGCCACGTGTCGATTTAACCACAGTATCTTCGGCCGTGCGTTTTACGGCCTTCGTCTTCGGCCCATAATACCGCGGTCGCGAGGCCAAGAGGATTCTGCCTTTGTAGCTTTTCTTTTGTTTTCAGGAAGGCGAAATGCCTAACGAAACGATAGGTGCTAGGGCCGAGAGGAAATCCCTTCAGTCAGTTTATGACCATGATTTATTAGGCACAAACAAATATGTACCCACACAACAACAAAAAAACAAAGAAAAAGAAAAAAAAAGCTAAACCCTAAGTGAGAAAACCTTAAGAGAGAAACGTTTTAGCCGTCGTCCCCCCAAGGGTCGCTGGCCTCCATCCCTCTCTTCCTACTCTTCCCTCCCCTCCTTCCTCCTTGCAGATCCCTCCTAGTGCCTCCGTCTTGAGATGAGTTTGGTGGCTACTTCAGCAGAGGAGTGCTCTATTTGTGTTGGAACAAACAAATGCCAACTCCATTGATTCATGCAAGTGCACAGCAAACACTACGGCGGAATTAAGGGCGCATTTCAGCTTGAAAATCAGAAGATTCTGTAAGTTATTAAGTAAATAGCTTAATTTTCCATAAACATCATGTCTTGCCGGTAAGTTATAGTGTAAAAAGCCTATATACCAGAGAACGCAACATCTTACAAGTAAGTTATTAAGTAAATAGCCTAATTTCCCAAAAACATCATATCTTACAAGTAAGTTATAGTGTAAAAAGACAATAAATCTGAGAACGCAACATCTTACCCTTAATTTATTAAGTAAATAGCTTAATTTTCCATAAACACCATATCTTGCCGATATGTTACAGTGTAAAAAGCCAATATATCGAAGAACGCTACATATTACCCATAACTTATTAAGTACATAGCCTAATTTTCCAAAAAACACCATATCTTAACTGTAAGTTATAGTGTAAAAGGCCTATATATCTGAGAACGAAACATTATACCTGTAATTTATTTAGTGAATTGTCTATTTTTCTAAAAACACCATATCTTACCGGTAAGTTATAGTGTAAAGTGCTTATATATCTAAGAACGCAACATCTTACCCCTAATTTATTAAGTAAATAGATTATTTTTCTATAAACACCATATCGTACTGGTAAGTTATAGTGTAAAAAGCCTATATATCTGAGAACGCAACATCTTACCCTTAATTTATTAAGCAAATAGCTTAATTTTCCATAAACACCATATCTTGCCGGTATGTTACAGTGTAAAAAGCCAATATATCGAAGAACGCTACATCTTACCCATAACTTATTAAGTACATAGCCTAATTTTCCAAAAACACCATATCTTAATTTTCCAAAAACACCATATCTTAGGGTAAAAGACTGTATATCTAAGAACGCAACATCTTACCCGTAATTTTTTAGTAAATTTCCTAATTTTCAAAAAACATCATATCTTACCGGTAAGTTATAGTGTAAAAAGCCTATATATCTTAGAACGCAATATCTTACACATAATTTATTAAATAATAGCCTAATTTTCAAAAAACACCATATTTTACCGGGAAGTTATAGTGTAAAAAGCCTATATCTCAAAGAACGCAACATCTTACAAGTAAGTTATTAAGTAAATAGCCTAATTTTCAAAAACACCATATCTTACCAGTAAGTTTTAGTGTAAAAAGCCTATAAATCTGAAAACGCAACATCTGACCCATAATTATTAAGTGAATAGCCTAATTTTCCAAAAACATCATATCTTGCCGGTAAGTTATAGTGTAAAAAGCCTATATATCAGAGAACGCAACATCTTACAAGTAATTTATTAAGTAAATAGCCTAATTTCCCAAAAACACCATATCTTACCGGTAAGTTATAGTGTAAAAAGCCAAAAAATCTGAGAACGCAACATCTTACCTTTAATTTATTAAGTAAATAGCTTAATTTTCCATAAACACCATATCTTGCCGGTATGTTACAGTGTAAAAAGCCAATATATCGAAGAACGCTACATCTTACCCATAACTTATTAAGTACATAGCCTAATTTTCCAAAAACACCATATCTTAACTGTAAGTTATAGTGTAAAAGGCCTATATATCTGAGAACGAAACATTATACCTGTAATTTATTTAGTGAATTGTCTATTTTTCTAAAAAACACCATATCTTACCGGTAAGTTATAGTGTAAAGTGCTTATATATCTAAGAACGCAACATCTTACCCGTAATTTATTAAGTAAATAGATTATTTTTCTATAAACACCATATCGTACCGGTAAGTTATAGTGTAAAAAGCCTATATATCTGAGAACGCAACATCTTACCCGTAATTTATTACGTGAATTGCATATTTTTCGGAAAACACCATGTCTTATCGGTAAGTTGTAATGTAAAGTGCCTATATATCTGAGAAGGCAACATCTTACCCGTAATTTTTTGACTAAATAGCCAATTTTTCTAAAAACACCATATCTTATAGGTAACTTATAGTGTAAAACGCATAACGCAACATCTTACCCATAATTTATTGTGTAAAAAGCCTAATTTTCCAAAAACACCATATCTTGCCGGTAAGTTATAGTGTAAAAAGCCTATATATCTAAGAACGCAACATCTTATCTGTAATTTATTCACTAAATACCCTAATTTTCCAAAAACACCATATCTTACCGGTAATTTATAGTGTAAAAAGCCTATATATCAGAGAACGCAACATCTTGCAAGTAATTTATTAAGTAAATAGCCTAAGTATCCAAAAACACCATATCTTACTGGTAAGTTATAGTGTAAAAAGCCTACAAATCTGAGAACGCAACATCTTACCCTTAATTTATTAAGTAAATAGCCTAATTTTCCAAAAACACCATATCTTGCCGGTAAGTTATAGGGTAAAAAGACTGTATATCTAAGAACGCAACATCTTACCCGTAATTTTTTAAGTAAATTGCCTAATTTTCAAAAAACATCATATCTTACCGGTAAGTTATAGTGTAAAAAGCCTATATATCAGAGAACGCAACATCTTGCAAGTAATTTATTAAGTAAATAGCCTAAGTATCCAAAACATCATATCTTACTGGTAAGTTATAGTGTAAAAAGCCTACAAATCTGAGAACGCAACATCTTACCCTTAATTTATTAAGTAAATAGCCTAATTTTCCAAAAACACCATATCTTGCCGGTAAGTTATAGGGTAAAAAGACTGTATATCTAAGAACGCAACATCTTACCCGTAATTTTTTAAGTAAATTGCCTAATTTTCAAAAAACATCATATCTTACCGGTAAGTTATAGTGTAAAATCCGTATATATCTTAGAACGCAACATCTTACACATAATTTATTAAATAATATCCCAATTTTCAAAAAACACCATATTTTACCGGGAAGTTATTGTGTAAAAAGCTTATATCTAAAAGAACGCAAAAGCCAATACTTTACCAAACAAAAAAATTAAGACAATCTGGTGTGCCTCCACTAACGAGCACGGAGTATCGAAGAAACTCTGGCGTATGCATCCCAACTAGGATTTCAAACTTAAAATAATAATTAAAAGATAAAGCTTGAAAAAACCAAGCTATAACAATACAAATAAAATGACAGGACTCGCCCCGAATTCCTCGGAATCCGTGACGGATCCTGTGGTATTTTCGACATCCAACCGATACCGGGCCCACTTACTGATTTCAAATGTCCTCTTCCCCTAAAACAAAGGAAAAGAGGGCCGAGACTTCTACCGAAATTTCGGCAGAGTCTCCCTTGAAAAACGGACTTAACCAAATTTTCAACCTGTCAAAAACACAGTTTAAAATTTCCACACTTCAGCATGCACAGTCTACCCTCCAGGCATAGTCATAAGTAGTTGTAAGGACTCAATCCACAATCATTCATCAATCTAAAATAGGTTTCAGCCCCGACACAATCACAAACACATTATAACCACATCCCTTCAGGCTACCGACAAATTCAAAACCGAACTTAACAAATCTAATAAATAGGATTCGAT